AAAATCTGGTACGAACTTACGGTAGTACCCTGCGAGCCCCAAAAATTGCCATACCTGTCTTTTGGTCACGGGTGCGGGATAATTCCTTAGGGCCTCTACTTTGTCCAGCAGAGGTTTTAGGTGCCCCCCTCCTACCGTGTAGCCCAGGTAGGACACTTCTCCCTTCGCGAAGTGACATTTTTTTGGGTTGGCCGTAAGCCCCGCCGCCTGCAGCGCTTGCATTACCGCCCTAAGATGTTCCAGATGCTCCTGCCAGTTTAGGCTGTAGACCACAATGTCGTCGATGTAGGCGGCCGAATATCCCCGGTGGGGTGCCAGCACTCGGTCCATGACCCGCTGGAAGGTGGCAGCTGCCCCATGGAGACCGAAGGGCATCCTGCAGAACTGGTACAAGCCAAATGGGGTCGAGAAGGCAGTTTTTTCCCCAATCGGGCAGATCCAGCGGTATTTGCCAATACCCCTTTGACAAGTCTAAGGTGGATATATACCTGGCTCGCCCTAGGGCTTCTAACAACTCTTCGACTCGGAGCATCGGATAGGCATCAAATTGGGAGATGGCATTAACCTGCCAGAAATCGATGCAGAACCTCACAGACCCGTCACTCTTTGGGACTAGCACGATGGAACTTCTCCATTCACTCCGTGATTCCTCAATAACTCCCCATTGTTCCATGGCCTGCACCTCCTGTCTCACGGTCTCCCACACCTTCCTCGACAGGGGGCGACGCGCTTCTCGCACTACCCGCCCCGGTTCCATACGGATGCGGTGTATCCCTACCTCGGTTCGTCCTGGTGCCGCCGTCAAGATGGTTTGGAATTCCCACAGCAGTTCCGCTATCTGTTGTCCCTGTTCCTTCGAAAGGTCTGGTCCTAGCGTCACCTTCCCGTCTGACGTGCAGTCCTCGCTGGAGGGCCCTAGATCTTCCTCAGGTTCCACCGGGGCCATTAATAGGCCTTCTCATGCCACCCACTTCTTGAGAAGGTTGACATGGAAGACCTGCCTCCGCCGCCGCCTCCCTGAGAGCTGGATCTCGTAGTCTACCTCCCCCACCCTTCAGATCACTTCATACGGTCCTTGCCATTTGGCGAGGAGCTTCGATTCCTTGGTGGGGAGCAGTAGCAGCACTGCCGTGCGATTGTAGTAATGCGCCTGCCGGGTTTGGGCCTTCAATAGGTTCAGTTGAGCATAACCCCCACTTCGTCGTAGTCTCTCCCGCAGCAGTAAAATATACTGAGCCGTACCCTGACACCAGGTGGTTTGGGCCTCCCAGTCCTCCCTTAAGATGTCTAATATCCCCCAGGGTTGCCGCCCGTACAGGAGTTCAAAGGGGGAGAATTCGGTGGATGCCTGGGGTACTTCCCAGATGGCAAAGAGGAGGGTTGGCAGCATCTGGTCCCAATCCTGGGGCCCTTCCTGTACCACCCGCCTTAGCATATCGTTTAACGTACGGTTAAATTTCTCCACCAACCCATCAGACTGGGGGTGGTATACCGATGTCCTGAAGGTTTTTATCCGTAGTAACGTACAAAGCTCCTTCATCAACCGAGAGGTTACGTTAGTGCCCTGGTCGGTTAAAATGGTTTTCAGGAATGATCTTGTATTTAAAAAGGTTGGAGACCACTGGCTTAGAGTGAACCGCCAGCTTTTGAGAATAACTGCTGGTTCACTCTAAGGCAGCAGGCCCCTTACGGGGAGTGGGCAAGGGGGAGAGAGACTTCACGCACTCCTATGCTCTGACTGGCCTGGGGGCGGGAGAGCATGTGAAATCTTCTCCCATTCTATAAAAGGTGCGCAGTGCCTAGAGGAACCCACCAGCTGTTCGGGGGGGGGGGGGGGGTGGGGTGGGGGCGCAAAGACTTCATATGCTCCACCACCCCCAGGCCAATCAGGGTCTCTGGGTGGGGGAGCACGGGAAGTGTCCTGGCCTTGCCCTTTCCGCCCAAGGCATCCCCCCCTTCTGGAGTGACCTGGAGCCACTTCAAAAGTCTGTGAAGCAGCCCCCCCTTCTATAATTATTGCCTATCCGGGTATTACGGACAGATAAACCCAGCTACCCAAATTCAAAAAAAGCTTTTTATAAATTCAGCTACTTTGAAGTAACTGATTTGAGAATAGCCACTATTCAATGAAATTTTACAAGGCTACAAAATTATTAAATATTTTGCAACTTTCATCTTAACTCCAAACCTAAGAAACTCAAGTTCAAAATGTGCTTCAAATGTATAGTTCTAAATTCAGCTCAGCTATGATTGACTGATTACTCAGCTTCATCTGTTGCAAACCAACTGTCAGTTTACTGGAAGATTGCTGAAGTCAGTACTGAAATATCTCAGTTCATTAAGCCAGCCTGAACATTGACTGTTTTCCAAAGCGGTGAAGTTGATAAAAATTATTTTGTCAGTGCCAGCAACCAACACTTCGAGGGTAATTTTGGTGTTCTATATTGTATTAAAACATATCTTTGGTCCGCGATGGGACAATCATGGTTCGGCTGGCGTATGATTTTACATGTACATGAGGACAAAAGTTATGACTCAAGGCTCACTGCTGGTGCAGAAGAATTGATTGTAGGAAATCCAGAATGAAGATAACTCTTTGGAACTTTTTCAGATCTGTAAGTTCTTTTTACTTGTGTTTTAAAAAGTAATCCCTTTAATGAGTAGTTTTGTGCAGTGAATAAGTTGGTCCACTTTTTAAAGAGGAGATAAATTAGTTTCATTCTCAACTCACTGTTCTTATTATTAATGCAAATCCATGGATCCTAATCAAAATTCATATGGGCTATGTATTACTACAGGTGAAGTATGAATACTTTCTACTTGAAGTTTGTGCTAAAAACTGAATTAATCTCTCAGAATTATTATTGCAAATACAAAATACTGTATTCTTCCATCTTTAACATGTAGCATAAATGTTTTCATATTCCTAATATACTTTGTGTTTAATTTATAAATAGGGATGTTAAATGTAAGTTAAATAACTAATTGACTAGTTGATGGATTTTGTGTCAACTAGTCAATAAGCAGGGAAGCCACAGAGGGCTCCTGGCCCCAGGAGTTAATCCCGCTATGGCTCTGCCTTTTAAATGTATTAAGAGCCTACTGGCAGTAAGGGGGCGGGGGAGGGAGGAAGCAACTAGTCGAGGGACTAGTTGACTATTCAATAAGCTTTTGCTTATTGGATAGTCAACTAATTGCTCACATCCTTATTCATAAAGCACTTTTAAACACATTGCTAGTAGTGGACAATCACCTCCCTCTTAAATATGTCACATAAGTTCAGGGCTCGACAAATAATGTAATCTATTCACCTGTGGCGAGTAGATTACAACCCAGAAGAGCCGGCGCAGAGCGATCTGCGCATGCGCAGAACGCAGAACAGCGCGAAACTGCATGGCTGGCGAGCAAGGCTCGTCACCACTTGGCGAGCCCTGAATATGTTAATACACCCCAGAATAATAGCCTTTTTCATAACTGAATCATATTGTTAGCTCAGATTCAATTTCTGATCCACTATAACATGCAGTTATTCACTACTTTGGATTTGTAAATTTGATTGTTCCTTCTTAAGTCAGGTACTTTACTCTTGTCTTTATTGAATTTCATTTTGTTGATTTCAAATCAATTCTCAATTTTTTAAGATCATTTTGCATTAATCCTTTCCTCCAAGGCTATTTCTACACTGGTGGCTTCTTGCGCAAGAACATCTTGCGCAAGGGATCTTGTGCAAGAAATCTTGCACAAGAAAACATCCACACTGCCATGTGCGAGCTGTGCTTTTGCACAAGAGCTCCCATGGCAGTGTGGATGTTCTCTTGCGCAAGGAAGCTCTGATGGCCATTTTAGCCATAGGGCTTTCTTGTGCAAGAAAACCCTGCCAAGCATCCACACTGCCCTCTTGCGCAAGAGGGCTTATATCTGATAAAAAAGAGCGTAGCTCTTGCGCAAGAAGCCCTCTCTTACCATGCTGTACTGTAAATTTCCTTGCGCAAGAGCGGGTGGGCAATGTGGACACACTGCAGATTCTTGCGCAAGAACGGCTGTACTTGCACAAGAAGCCGCGAGTGCAGACATAGCCCAAGTGTTTGTAACCCCTTCCAGCTTGGTGTCCCCTGCAAATTTTATATGAATCCTCTCCACTCCATTATTCAAGATATCATTGAAAATGTTGAAGAATACTAGGTCCCGGACAGACTGCTGCAGGGATCCACTAGATATATCCTCTAAGTTTGACAGCAAACCATTGATATCTACTCCCTGAATGTGGTTTTGCAACCATTTATGCACACATTTTATGGTAATTTCATTTATATCATACTTTCCAAGTTTACTTATCAGACTGTCATGTGGGTGGGACTGTGTCAAAAGCCTTAATAAAAATCCAAATAAATTACATCTACTGCTTCCCTCTGTTCACTAGGCCATAATTGTCAAAGAAAGAAACTAGGTTGCTTTTTAAAACCATATTAACATGTAGGTGCTTACATACTGATTGCTTAATAATTCGTTCCTGTATTTTTCTAGGTATTGAATTAGGCTGACTGGTCTATAACTTCCCGAGTCCTCAGTTTCCCTTTTTAAAGGTAAACTCTATGTTTGCCGTTCTTCAGTCCTTTGGAACTACATATATCCTTGAGAAGTTCTCAAAGATAATCGCTAAGCAAAAACATATGCAAATGAGGCAAAGCAAGGAATATTGCTGTGCCTCATTTGCATAATTAATGAGGCTCTGTTTTGCACAAGAGGTTTTTGCGCAAAAACCCCATCTTGCACAAGAGCCATTCTTCCTGAAAAAAATGCGGAAGAACGGCTCTTGTGCAAGAAGGGGTTTTTGTGACAAAAGGAGCCATGTAGACAGCTCCTTTTTGCACAAAAGCCTCTTATGCAAAAACAGAGCCTCATTAATTATGCAAATGAGGCACAGCAATATTCCTTGCTTTGCCTCATTTGCATATGTTTTTGCACAAGAGGCTATAGTGTAGACATAGCCTAAGGGTTCAAAAATTCCTTCAGCTAGTTCCTTAAGTACCTTAGGGTGAATTGCATCAGGTTCTGCCAACTTGAATACAGCTAAATATTATTGAAAATTCTTTAACCTGTACTTTCCTCATTCTGTCTTCTATTCTTCCCCTTGTTGTTAATATTAAGTGTTCACCATTAACTTTTTTTAGTGAAGATTTGACTCAAAATATACATTAAACACTTCAGCCTTCTTTTCAAGTTAGGCACCCAAAAATAGAGGCACTCAAGATCACTACTCAGTTCTGGAAGCCTTGGCCAATCTCTTTTCCTTGTAAGCTGAGCACATGCGATGTGGAAGTTGCTGAGAGGCAGCATGGAATCCCCCCCAGTGCCACTTCTTGGCAAACACACTCTGAGGCCCTTGCACAGGGTATCTCATATAAATGACAGTTAGCTTTCAGTCTCTGGTGCAGGGGACTGAAATTTACTACTGCTTATTGTAACTGGGGAAAAGAGAACAAGAAACATCAGAAAGCAAAACAGAAACAAAAAAGTGAACCCATAAACTTTACAAAGTGTCTAAAGATTTCTCAGTTTTCTTTTTTAAAGAAAAATCTGTTTAAAGCAATCTGCAGTTAATTAACCATCTTATGTATTTCTGTGTGAACAATTAAGTCAACCCACTGAATAAAGTACAGTAGATGTGTGAGACTCCCTCTAATCAACCATTGGCTGTGGATCATATTTTAGGAATTAGCTTAGTAGAATAGAATGTTCTTTCAGGCATGTGCTATTTGAAACCTTAGTTTGCGTAAGTCATTTGAAACCTCCTCTGGCCACAGTTAAACCAGGGAGCTAACTCTACTGCTGTGATTGCAGAATTAGCTTTCTTTAACCACTTGCTACAGCAAGTTTATAAGAATGGAATATTCAGCAGTTTTCTCTCCTCACTCCCACTCCACCTAAAATCTTTTAATGTTGAATGATTAATTGCTTCTCCAACAACTAAGACTGTATCAGTCTTTCTACTCTGTACAGGCTGTTACAGCTTTTGTGATGTCAGATGGACTTCTGAGAGGGATAATTCTTGGGTAAAAAAGCAGCAAGAAGGCACGGGATCTAGAATACTTTCACTTTAGTTATTTTTATTTGCCATATGCTCATAGCTGTGATTGTTGCCTTGAGCAAAAATTGATAAAACAGCAAAAGTGGCAGTCTACATCTATGTAACGTTTCCTGACTACAGGATTCTGGCCAAATGCAATTATGTTTACGACTACTGCTTGCCAAATTGCTTCTGTCTTAATGCCATCAGCCTGGAAAAGTACCTTTGCAAGAACATGTTTTGGCTTTTACTCAAAAACTCAATTGCAGCCAGCCCGGTATCAAGCAGTCTGTGGAGACCTTTTACTCTTATCTACATGGGGAAATTCACTAGAATAACTATTGCAGAATAAACTATTTTGCTCTAGCTATTTCAAAACAGTTCCCTATCTGAACACTTTCCTCTGGCATAGAATTCACTTTATTCCTGGATAATTAGTGTGCTTTGTGAATACAGTACTTATTCTGTAATAAATGACTTTTACTCTAGGAAAAAAAGTGTCCACATGGGTACACAGAAGGACCTATCCCTGAAGAGCACTTATGGTGCAATAGCTTCTGCAACAGCTATTCTGACCAATTTTCCTCTCATCTAGGGTATGTCTAAACGACATCCCTCTGTCGAAAGAGGGATGTAAATTAGGCAAATCAAAAGTGCAAATGAAGCGGGGATTTAAATATCCCACGCTTCATTTGCATAATCGCATCACAGTGGCCTTTCGAAAAAAGGTGTTTCGAAAGTGAAAGTGCTGTCTAGATGCGGTTCTTTTAAAAAAAACAAACAAACCCTTTTTCAAAAGATTCCGTATTTCTCATTTTTCTACATATTCTGCATTCAAGGATGTCACTATGTGACTATAGAACAAAAAATGGCATCGAGGATTACATCTGCCTCTCTTTGATCAGCTTAAAAGTTAAAAAACTTAACAAAAATGACTTCTATCATTTGCCCTCATTTTAACAATAGGAAAAATATTAGCAATTCTCCAGTCATAGGATACAATCCACAAGTTTACAGATTCATTAAAAATTCTTGCTATTGGACGGGCAATTTCATGTCCCAATTCCTTTAATATTTTTGAATGGAGGTTATTTGTAACCCCCCCCTCATTTTATTCCTTTAAGTCATTTGAATTTTACTTCCACCTTGGATGTGGTCATTTCTACCTCCTTATTCTGGTTTCCATTAGTCACCATTTCCTTACCCATTTTCCCCAGCCTGACAATCTGCCTTGATACATTCCAGTAAGAATCTAGCTGTATAATTAGTTCCCACATGAAGAACAATTGGTGAATTTTTCCCTGCTCCCATTGGGATCCTCTTCAACCTCAGGTCCACAACCCATATCTTAGCTCTCAGCATATCCTTCTGTCTTTCAGATCAGCTCTGGTGAAAGGCCTACATGTTTTTCTTAGTAGGGAGTCCCCAATCATGTAAATGTGCATTTTCCTGGTTACAGTGTGATTCTTCAGCCTTTCTTCTGTATTTTTGGATGCAAACCTTTTAATCTTCACAATTTTCTGTGAGTCATCCTGTATACCCTGTAGCTCTGAACTCTGGTATCTCCATTGATGGTTACCTTAAAAAAGAAATAAAGAGGGGACATGATACAAGGATATAAAATGCTGATATAGAGAAGGGAGATTGAGAACTTTTGTTTTCCTTATCCCAAAACACATGAACAGGGGGACACTCACAGGAATTAAAAGGTGGCAAATTTAAATGTACTGAGACATCAATGTATTTATGTGGGATCACACCCTAAACTCTTTAAAAAGTTTGTGCCAGAATATCTGTTGAGTCAAATACCATTAATAATGACCAATTAGTGGGCATTTTGTTATTTAAAAGATGTCTCCAATAGTGTTTGGAGTCTCCATATGCATAGTATATTGCAGTGTTGCCAACTTCATTTTATTGTGAGCCTTGTGATGTTTCATCTTTAACTTAAAGCTGTAGTTACTATAGTGAAGTGATTACTTGAGAATCTCTTCTTTCTTTACATGAAAATGTTTCTAGCCTTCCTGGTTGTGGAGAAAAACTTGAAAGCATGAACTCAAAGGGCTAAAAAAGTAGAAGGCAAATAAGAACCTGGCTGATCAGGCCCAGACTGAGTTGCTTGTCTGCCTTTTGAACCTTGCTTCCATTTTGAGTATGCTTGGTAAGGCTAAGGGGTGGTACATACTTAGCCAATAACTATTCCTTAACCTCTTCCTGACTAGTGAGAGGTTTTTACATCCTGTCACTCCATCACATGATTTTTTTTGAGGGAGGGGTTGACATGCTTGGAGATGACACTGCTGCAGCTGTAATTGCATGTGAAAACTGTAAGTATTATAGTTTGAAAAGCTGAGCAGCAGAAAGGTCCATCTTTCAGGGTCCAGTCTGAGTAAATAAGAGCTTGGTCCTTACTCTCCCCTCAAGCATATAGTCTTTACCTGATTCTCAGAATTACTTCACTGAAATAAAATATTTGTTATTATTTCTGGGAAAAACGCCATACATATCAAGGTAGGACTATGCAGTACACCCATGAGACTATTTATGCTTTTCTTGAGGTCCAATATGCTGTGTAAATTATAGACAGACCTGAGCTGGGGCTAGTCAGAATTGGATCATTCCAAAAGAAGATCCAGGAGATATTGTACCTCAACCTGAGCCTCATAAGAACATAAGAATGGCCATACTGGGTCAGACCCAAGATCCATCTAGCCCAGTATCTTGTCTGCCGACAGTGGCCAATACCAGTTGACCCTGAGGAAGGGAACACAACAGGTAATCCTTACATGATCCCTCCCTGTCCCTCATTTCCAGACCAACAGAGGCTAGGGACACCATTCCTACCCATCCTAATAGCCATTGATGGGCCTAACCTCCATGAATCTATCTAGCTCTTTTTTGAATTCTGTTAAGTTCCTTAGAGTGCACAGACATCCCTTAGGCTTCCCTTTTTGTGCATAACAACCTCCCCGTCCATATAGTGTATAGGCATTTTCTGGCCTTAGGTGGTATCATCAGTCTGGTCATTATGACATCACCAGAAATCCTAAGAGTGTGACATGGTTGCCAGCAATTACAAACTACTAGATTTAGTGAATGACTACGGTGTCCTGTGAATGCAGCAGAAAAAGGTATGGAAAAATCCAAAAAGGTAACCATGATTACCAACGTAGCTTTTATAAGACCGCACATAAGCCCAGCAATATTTATAATTTTATCCACAATGCCAAGGATATTCAGCAAGCAATTGTAATGTAAGAATATATAGAACAGGGGTTCTCAAACTTCATTGCACTGTGACCTCCTTCTGACAACAAAAAATACGACATAACCCCAAGAAGGAGGAATGAAGCCTGAGCCCACCTGAGTTCTGCTGCCCTAGGTGAGGAGGGAGTTAAAGCTCAAAGCTTTCAACTCTAGGTAGGGGGGCCTGTAAACTAAGCCCTACCACCTGGAGCTGAATCGAAAGCATGAGTCCAGTGCCTCTGGCTGAAACCATTGGGATTTGGCCCAGGTGATGGGAGTCAGGTTTTGGCTTTGGCCCCGGCCCCAAGTGGTGGGGTCTGAGTTTTGGCTTTGGCTACCAACCAAGGGCCATCCCTATGCGTATGCAGCATATTCTAGGGCCGTGGTCACCAACCAGTAAATCGCGATCTACCGGTAGATGTCAGGGGCTCTAAGAGTAGCTCTTGAGCCCTCTCTGCACTGCGCACCTGTGCAGTACATTTACATTAGATTTCCTCATTTGAGGAGCAGCTACTCACCGAGCAACAACACAGGTGAGTACCTGCAAGGAATGGTGGGAGCTGGGAGGTCGGGAGGGCTGAAACACCCCAGCCAGCTGATTGTGGCTTTCAGCTGAAAGAAGCTGCCCCGCGCTCCAGCTAATCAGCGGCTTCCTCTCTGCGCCTGCCCACGTGGAGCTTGGTGCACCCTGGCTGAGTGCCATGGCCAGCTGTCTGGAGAGCT